GTATTCTTCTATGTTTTGGAAGAAAAGCTTATAGATGTCTGTTGGGTTCATTTGATGTAAAGTATTTAATTCTGATGTTTCTCTATTTTTCATCCAGATGACCTGTCTGTAGGACAAAGTGGGTCACTGAAATCACCTACTATTACTGAGGTGGATTAATCTGTCTTGAGTTCCAGAGATACTCTTTTTATGAAATTGAGTGAGCCATAGTTTTGGAACATATATGTTAAGGATTGTAATGTCTTCTTCATTCACAATTCCCTGGATCAGAATGAAATGTCCTTTATCTTTTCTGATTAATTTTAGTTTGAAGTCTATTTTTTCAGATATTATGATGACAGTACTTGCTTGTTTCTTGATACCAGTTACTTGGAATACTTTTATCAATCTGTATTAGTCAGGGTTCTCCAAAGAAACAGAACCAGTAGAATGAATATATGTGTATAAAGATTTATCAGCTTAGCTCACAGGATAGAGTCCGAGTAGTCCAACAATGGCTGCACCACACTGGAGAGGCTGAGAATCCATAGTCACTCAGTCCACAAGGCTGGATGTCTCAGTAGTCCCAATCTGGCGCTGAAGGTCTGACGAATTCCAAAAGATCAGCTAGTCTTCAGTCTACTGCAGCAAGACGAACTCACCAGCGAGAGAGAAGGCAAGCAACAAGAAGCCAAGTGCTCCCCTCTGCCATGGCCTTTTATACAGGCTGCCATTAGAAAGTAACACCCACATTTACTGTGTGTCTTCCAGCTTCAGATGATCCAATTAAGAAGGTCTCTCTCATTTCATTTAATCCTAGATCCAGTCAAGTTGACACCCAAGATTAACCATCACACCATCCTTTCAGTGTAACCTAGTTTCTATCCTTGAAGGCAAGATGAGTTCCTTGTAGGCAACAAAAAGATGTATTTTATTTCTTTCTTTCCTTCTTCCCTTCCTTCCTTCTTTCTTTCTTCCTTTCTTCCTTCATTTTTTTTGTTGAGACAGAGTCTCCCTGTAGCCCTAGCTGTCCCAGAACTCACTATGTAGACCAGGCTGGCCTCAATCTCCTAGAGATAGGCCTGCCTCTGCCTCCCAAGTGCTGGGATTTTATTTCTTAATCTAGTCAACTAATCAGTGTCTCAACTAGGGAGTGAGGCCATTTAATGTTATGATTGAAAGATGTATGTTGATTATTGTCACTTTGTTTCTGTTTGTGGTCTTAGTCCTATTTTGTGTTTCGATAATCATAGTTTCCTTCGTTATCTTTCTACAGCTTCTTTGATGTGTTTACCCCCCTCTTCTGTTCATAGTATTGCTTCCACTACCCTTTGTAGGGCTGCTTTGCTGAGCTTGAATTCTTTCAGCCTATTTATATCATAGAAAGTTTTTCTTTCTCCCCCAACTATAGCAAATAGGAGTCTGGTTTGGCATCTGTGGTCTTTAGAATTTGGAGTACCTTGCTCCAGGCTCTTCTGGTTTTTAAAGTTTCCATTGAGAAATCAGCTCATATATCTGTACAGCTAGGTCTTTCCTTAATTTAGCCAAGTTTTCTTCTGTTGAAGCTCTGATTTACGCCCTGAAAGTCTTCCCTTTTTTCTAGGCCTATACTGCACAGATGTGTGGTCTTTTCATTGCGCCCCAAAGTTCTTTCATATTCTTTTCCTGTGCTTTTGAATTTTTTCATATTCATTGCTTGAGTGGTCCAATTCTTCTCCTTTGTCTTCAAATCTCGTCATCTGTCTTTTACTTGATCTATTCTGTTGGTAAAGTTTTCTGCTGAGTTTTCTAATTGGGTTATTTAGTTTTTCAGTTCCCTCCTTAATTCAGCTTGAGTTTTATTCAGTATTTCTAGCTCTTTCCTGAATTTACTTTTTAGATCTTGAACTGCCTTTGTTATTTCATTCAGCCACATATATTTGTGTTTTCTCGAGCTGATTCCTATTCTCTTTGAATTCATTAACATGGTTGTTCATGTCTTCTTTAAATGTCTTGAATTCTTTGACCATGTTTATGATTGTTCTTTTAAGTTCTGTGTCCTAGGGTTCCTTTGAGTAGTTTTCATTGTAGAACATTTCTATAGGACTAGTGGATTTTGGTGGGGACCTATTGTCTTGGCTTTTCATATTATTTGTGTTTTTGTGATGTGACCTGGACCTGTGAACTTTGGTTGTGGGTGATATGAAGACCTATCCTTCCTTTGTTGAGTGGTAGTTTGTTTTTGTTTTTGCTGTTGTCCTAGATTGGCTTGTTTCAGACCAGGTAGGTATGAAGAGTTCATTGCCGAAGCCTTCAGATTCTCAGCACTGATTTTTGATTGAAGGGATGGGGTGATTCTATGCTGGTCCTGTGAGTAAGTTGGGCAATTATTACTAGGCCTATGAGTTTGGAGAGGGTGGTGGGGTGGGCGGGGTTCTGGCTACTTACCAGGCTAGTCAAAATCATGAGTGGGCATGACCCAAGCTATTCAAAATAGGGAGTGTGGAGATTGAGTTTGCATTTCTATAATTCAGTAAAGTTTCAGAAGGAATCAGAGCAAATCTGTGTTCAAAATCTGACTCTGTTTGATTTGGGGCTTTGTTTTGTTTGCAATACTTGGGAACAAACCCAAGGCCTCGACCATGCTAGGCACACACCCTGCCACTGATCCTGCATCATAGCAAATTGGTTAACTTCATTTAGCTGAGTCTATTCATCTATAAAATGAGACTAGAGACCATATTTACACAATAATTGTTTGATGAATAAATAAAATTGTAATAATAGCATCACCTGGAAAATAGTAAATTTTGGGTAGATAATAGCTGATAATATTATTAAAATTAGTGTTGTTAAAATGTAAAACCAAAATAAGAAATCTAAAGCTAAGATAAAGGGAGAAGAAAAGAACTCTGGCCTTTCCCCCACTCTTCAACTAGATTTTGTAACAAACTGGGCAACTTGATTGACATGTAAGAAGGAAGTAAGAGGGGTGTTTGGGGTATGGTTTAATGAAGTTTCAAACTCAATGGCAGATAGACCCAGTAGACCCAGGGGCCAAGTAAAAACCAGCCTCTCTGATCTCAAATGATTGCTGTTTAAGAGTAGACATCACAGTCATATGCCAATGGAGAATAATGATCTACAACATAAGCATCACATGAAATTTTGTTACACACTGCAAATGACATTGCAGGCAGCAGGGACCGATATACAATGTAGTTCCATCAGAGTACATCTTAGTGACATCATAGCCTCTTCATTCATGCAAGTACAGTCTCTAATTTTCTTTTTTTATGCTTTAAAATGCTTTAATACTAGGTTATAGCAATGGTTACAAAATTCAAGAGTTATTAAAACTCACATAAATCTTTTTGTCTCTCTTTATTTCTTTTTTTCTTTCTTTCTGCCTTCCTTCCTTTCTTTTTTATGGGGCTTTTGGCTACTCTAACATTTCCCCCTCTAAAGAGGTAACCCTAAAATCATTTAAAAATTAGATAGATAAAAGCTCTCAAATACTTTTGACATTTTTGGCCTTTGGAACAGAGTATGTTGCTAAGGGGCCCAAGGACATTGTGAATTTTAGCCAAGAGTCTGGCTACTTTTCTTTGGGGTCTTTTTACCTTAACTGCCTAGCCAATTACAGTCCATAATTTTCACAAGGAAATGGCCTAACATGTTTCTCAGAATATTCCCTGTTTTATATAGTTCATTGCTATATTTTTAAAATTGTTTATTTCTAATATTTTAAGGTACCTAGTCTGCATGAATAATGAACAGAAAGAATGAAAGGAAGGTTAGATCATGCCTCTAAAGCTCTATGGGTTATAGTGCTACAAACTATTTCATTCCCCATTCCCTTCCCACACCTCACAGATAACATACTCTTTGAAGGATAAACTTTATCATTGGCAGATGTATTAGTTACTTTTCTGTTGTTGTGATAGAAACATTATGACCAAGGGAACTTATAAGAGGAAGAGCTTATTTGGGCATATGGTTCCAGGGGAATCACAGTCCATCATTGTAGGGAGGCATGGTGGCAGGAGGTGACCTGAGCAGGAGCAGAACCCAGAGCACTCGCTTCTTCAAGCAGGCATAGGAAGGAAGTGAGTGACTGGAGATCAGGCAAGGCTTAAGAACTCTTTAAGCCCGCCCCCAGTGACATGCTTCCTCCAGCATGACCACATCTTCTAAGACCTCCCAAAACACCACCAACTACTGGGGAAAAATGTCCAAATGCTTGGAGCCTATGGGGGGCAGTCTCATTCAAACAACCATAAGCAGGTTTCTAGTAGTTAACTTTTCCATCAGAAAAAAAATGTGATATTACAATTACTGGTGGCCTTTCATAAACTGAATTACTATATTATTTTTAAACATTAGTAAATAGCATTATTCTTAAATTGTTACTGCTGTTTCTACACAAGTGAATGCTATGCTGTCTTATGAGTAGCAGGTGCTTTGGCAATCAATGGACCCTGTGTCCATTTCTACACAACCATTTAATAGCTTAAACTTGCCATACTCATCCAGTTTGCATAATCCACTGAGTTTCATCTAGAGATCACAGTGTTACTTCATAGTGATATTTCACAGAGGTGTTTTGCTACCTTTAGGCACAACAGAGCCTAATGACAGTGGGAATTATTATTCTGTTTCTTGCCACTGTAAGGAGAAATTCATCATTGGCTCATTACAATTACAGAGCTAAAAGCTTACGTGCTGAGCAATCACAATCCACAAAGAAATGGAGCCAGCAAAAAACAAGTTGTGATAGACCTTGAAGCACATACCAACATTAAGACAGAAAAAGAAATCTCCCCTGATTTTATTTGGGGCTCTGAATCCAGTAAATAGTTCATACATAATTGAAATCCTATCTATTTGGAAAAAGAAGTAAATGTTATTTATTTTTCAAATTAGAAGGTAAAAGAATTAAACCAAATTGAAGTGTTGCTAAGGCTTTGAGACATAAAACAAGTTAAGTATCACTACTAAGAACTGAATTTTATGTTAATACTTCTTTATTTTCTACTTAGGCATTGAACTTTTTCAGACTGAACTCAAAATGTGAAGAATTAAGCCATTGGATTTTACCTGCTTCATCAATATTTTTTGAGAGGAAAAAAATCAGACTGCATCCTCCTGTCCATCCAAATCTTACTAATTAAAGTTCCTTTTTGTTTTCTAAATGTCCTTCTCTAAATGACTTCAGCCCACAATGTTGATTAAAACAATCATCTTTATTTTTAAAAAAGATTTTACTTACTATTTTTATTTTATGTGTATGAGTGTGTTGCCTGCATATATGTAAGTAACCCTCTGTAATGCAATACCCACAGGGGTCAGAAGAGGATTTCAGATCTCCTGGAACTGGAGTTATAGATGTTAACTACCATGTGGGTGCTGGGAATTGAACCCAGGTCCTCTGTAAGAGCAGCCAGTGCTCTTAACCCCTGAGCCATCTCTTCAGCTCCAATCATGCTTGTAGGGAAGCTGCGGTCAAAATGGGGCCGACCGCCTCCGTGTGGGGAGGAGCTAAGCAATTGGATCAGGGACAAAAAATAAAAGTATAGGTAATTGGAGACTAACCAGGAGGAAAATGCGTGAACACCTCTTGATCACCATAGTAGTACACTGAAAGGAGCCTGCGTGCTCTATGTGACCTTTCACAGGATTGGAGGATAGGTTCCCGCCTATGCTAATGATGGTGGTTTTTGCCTTTATAAGCTTTGTAACACTTACAATAAACGAGTTCCTGCATGACTAAACTCCCTGCTGCATCTGAGAGTCTGGGGGAGGCAGGTGAATGGGCAAGCAGCGCACTTACCCCTCCTTGGCCCCCATCACTGAGCTCCACATCCTGCCTCGCTGGTGGGGCAGAGACTCGGCATTCTGGTGCCCTGGGTGAGGAACCTTTTACGGAGAAGTTCTCAGCCAAGACCAATTGCTCTCGGGGTAAGTAAGACCCTTAGCATGGGTAACGCAACTTCAGCAAAAAGTGACCCGGCCTTAAAGGCTCTTTGATATATGCTCAAGAGCCAAGGCTTGGAGCTATCTGATCAGACTGCACTTCAGGTCTGGGAGACGGTGACGTTTTTGGCGCCCTGGGTGCCTGCGGCCAATCTCTTCTCCTGGGATACCTGAGAGAGGGTAGAGAGGCTGGCAAGAGAGAGGGAGAAGCACTTTGGGACAGAGCCCCTTCTGGGGCTCTACCCCACGATGTTGGCCCTTAAGGGCACCTTCAGTACGGGAGATTCCCCTACCTCAGCATTGCCAAGAGACAGTGGGGGAGGGGAGGCAAAGGGCTCAAAGGAGAGGGAAGAGGAGCAAGACTCTGGGGCGTGGGAGCAGTTTGATGCAGAGCGAAAGGAACAACGCAGCACTGAAGGCCCCATGGGAGTGCTAGCCATGGGTGTTAAAGCTAGATTGACTATGGAGGCCAAGGAGGAGACTAAAGAGGCAGATGGGGTCAGTGAGAGAAATCGCCCTGGAGAAAGGGAGGGGGGGAGCAGCCCCCAGCCTATCGGTTGGGCAGTTCACATTAACCCCTCTGCTGGGACCATGACCCCAGATCACAGCAGGATAGACGAGGGGGGTGGCAGGGGGCAGGCGGAGAGGCCCCCTCTCCCCCCCCCATCCAAGGGAGCCCACATACACTGACACTTTTCCAGTGAGAGTGTGGATGGAAACCACCCCTGCCTGTAAGGCGTTCCCAGTCAACTTGGTTCCGGGACCACAGAGGCCAGCCGACTGGTATCCATGGAAACCTAAGGATCTTAAGGAGTTAAGGGCCGTGGTCCTCAGTGATGACCCAACTCTCCTTGGGCCGAGGCTTTGTTGGAAAACATAGCCCACCAGCCATGCATCCCTAGAGATTGGATGGATATGGCTAAGGCAGTCCTCCCTAGCAATCAGTTCATCAAATGGCTAGCCTTGTATAAAGAGGAGTGTAGAACCATAGCAGAGAAAAATCATGGAGCAAACCTACAGATCCCCCTTTCCTATGGGCCACTGACAGGGACTGCTGATGCCTATTCCACTGGGGTACAACAGGCAGCTTTGCCTGCCCTGTACCGGGACCAGGTGAGGCAAGCAGGCCTTGCAGCCTGGAAGAAGCTCAATGAAGGGCCATGGGATATTCCTCTTGTGGGGCTGAGGCAAAAGGCAAGTGAGCCCCTTGCAGACTTTGTAGACAGAGTAGAGAAGAGCCTTGTCAGGAAATTGCCCCCCGGACCTCTGAGGGACGAGTTCACCAGATTAATGGTGTGGGAAGGTATGAATAGCAATCATCAGGCCACCTGCTCAGGCTTGAGGCAGGCCTCAGTCAGCCGCTGGATTGTAGCCTCCCAAGGTGTAGGAACTCATAGCCAACAGACACAGGCACTAACCACCACTCTGCAGGCCCAGACCGCCTCCCTGGCTGATGCCCTGACCCAGGTGCTCATGGCGCTGGAGGTGGGGGTAGAGATGCCCGAGCCAATAGAGAGGAGAAAAAAGGAGTGCTTTAAATGTGGCAAGACAGGACATTTTAAGAGGGACTGCCCAGAGGCAGAGCCCCTTGGACCCTTGGTGGAAGGGGGGGGCCTGAGAGCCCAACAAACCCACACCCCCCTGCCCCCATTGCAGTAAGGGGTTCCACTGGAAAAAGGATTGCAGGTCGAGGTTTGACTTAGCAGACAGACCTTTAAACTAGTTACGGGGCGGCCTCTAGCCCTGTTACCCAAAGGAGGAAAGATGGAATCACAGGCTCACTGGATGGTCCCAATACACCCAGGAATGAGGCCCAAAATGCATATTTTTATAGCAGGTAAAAGATTTTTTTGCTTAGTGGACACCAGGGTGGATCTTACGATCCTTCAAAAGGAGGAAGTACCCACGACATGGCCGCTACAGGCCGGCCCTAAAGTGTTGGGGGTAGGGCGACTTTCAAGGTCAGAGGAGGTAAAGGGATTGGTAAAGTGGAGAGACGCAGATGGGGCAGAAGGGGAGATACAGCCGCTAGTGGTCGAGGGCCTCCAATCCAATCTCATGGACCAGGATATCCTGAGCCAGATGGACTCTGTGCAAACTACAGAAAATAAGGCCTTTTATGATGATCTCTTAGAGCATGAGGAAGCCAATCACATGCCACAAAGGGTTGAAGGGGTTAAGGAGCAGGATTTTTTCCTATTTTCATAATTACAGGGGAGAGCTCAACAAGAT